CGTCAGGCCAGGGTCACGTTCCCCAGGCACGTTGGCTCAGGGAAGCGCAGCAGGCCAAGCCGGTAGGCTGCCCCGGGGCCTGCGACGAGGCAGGGTTGGCCGGCTGGGGGGGGTGAGCCGGGGGCAGGCATGGCTGGAAACTGAAAAGGACCCACACAACGTTTGCCTGGTTTGGTTTGCCCTAAGGACACGCACCCTTTGACAGCACATCTCCTGCCATTCACATACCTGGTTCTGGCATTTGCTGTCAAATATACCTGATCCCTGAGGTAAATTGGATTTTCCTCCCTCGCTCTTCCCAGAAAAGACGTGAGAGCCAGCTTTACCCTCCTGGCTGGCTCGAGGCCACAGTGGTTCATTGCTCCATGAGGAAACTTGTACCCCAGCCTGCTGGGAAAACGCCAGTGCCCAGACTCTCTGGTGAGGAGAGATCTGGGGATGGCCACAATATCCAGAAATGCAACGTGCTGCCTGTGAATGTGTGGTAGAGGTTTGATCAAGTCTGACTTGCCCCACAAACTTGTCTGTGCCTTGAAACTAGGCAACTATGGTCCCTCTTCCATTGCTTCCTTCTCTTGTTGCTTCCCACAGTCTCTTCTGAAGCTGAAGAGGCAAAGCCTGTTTCTGGTGAGACCAGTGACATGAATCCTCCACTGCAGCTTCAGTGTAAGTAGGATTTGTCCTATCTTAATGCATGCATGCGAATCCATCTCTGAAAGCTGCAGACTCGTACACGTGCTTCTAGGGGCAAAGGTGGTGTAGTGAAACATCTCGACTCACTTCTGACAGTTTGGGTGTTTGCCTTAAATTCATGTAGTGGTCAGCCTATAAATATTCCCCAGGCTTCTATGTGAGCATCACTCCATTTTTGCTTAAAGGAAATTAATGCCCTGTGACCAAGTTCGCTCATCCATGCACTGTCAAGTTTTAGGGTTTTTTCTGTTTTCTCTCTTCTAAATGCAACAGAAATCTATGTTTTGAATATTTTGTATTTTTCTTAAAGTAATTGATTGATTAGAAAAAAGCCTGAAGTTCGTTCTGAAGTTGCTTGGTAACACTCAGCTTAAAACAACAGGAGCAACATGTTTGAAATGCTGTGCAGGAGTGTGGTCCTCCATGCAGGTTTGATGCCCAGGGTCCTGTTTTTCTGAGGTATGTCAGAACTCACCCATTTATCATGTTGGTGTCTGCCTACACCTCTGATATGACAGATAAAAAACCCCAAGAGAGCCAGTGGTATGGAGATCTACTGATCCAGGTGGCATTGCCTCCTGCCAGTTAACTAGCACAAGAAACATAAAAGCTGGCCAAACAGTGGAGCTTAGATTGCCTGTAGAGGCTCTCTGTTGTGACCAACCTCAGGGTGATGTTCTTTCTTTCTACTCTATGAGCTATGTGGGACACATCTTACGCTTTTCTTAGCTATATGAAGGTTTTGTTAAAACCATGCATAGGAAATGTGGCCAACTTTGACATATACTAAGCAATTAGGAATATAAATGTTTTAAATGTTACTGCACAATCTATGGTGGAATGCTTGGCTATAAAAAAAAAAAAGGCAATCTCTTCTCAGCTTTCAAGCACCTGTAAAAATCTGTGACTGCTCCCAGTTCGCAGTCTGTGCTAAGAGTTTGTTAACACTAGAAATAGCAAGAAGTTAAACAAACCATTGAGAAAGACAAGGTTTTCAACTTTGTTCTCTGTGCCCCTTAAGACACTACAACAGACCCTGGCAGTGGAAGAAGATCCAGTGAAACTGCCATTGGGCTATTGTAGAGTTTGGATCCATCAGCAGCCCTTCTTCCCTTCCGTGGAAAGGACAGAAGGAATTGGCTGACAAATATGGAGCAGAACTGTGTAAGCAAACAGATAAGAGCTATTTTCAGAATACTGAATTTCACAGGGAGATTGGCATTATCCAGGGAATGCTTGAGGAAACTGCTTTAACCAAGAGCCATTCATTCCTTCTTCCCCAGACAGAAAAGGTGTATTTTCTACTGAAGCAACTAATGGTGGAGAGCAATGTTCCAGGTCCAAAATAAAGCAAAATGAGATGGTGTCTGAGCTGAACATTAATATTGCCTTCCCAGCTTCCTAACATAAGGCAAGTTGTGTGCTCTGCGGGGGTTAAATTTGCTTGTGTAAAATCTGAACACGAGCAGAAAGATCACAAATTCAGTGGGAATATAAAAGTAGAAGAATGCTACCTATGCTTATATGCTAAAGTGTATAAAATTCAAATTACTTTACTACTGTTGTTAACGTCCTGGAGTTGCTACTTTATCCTTCATTTTACATCTTCCTCACGCTGCCACATCTCAAAAGCAAAGCACAGTGCCTTACTAGGAGCCAGGGCTTCAAGGCCATGCTGCGCCCACCCTGCTAGCATTAGATTAGTTAAAACGTTGAGCAACTATTGTGGGTTTGCAAGAGGGGCAAAATCCTAAAGCCCTGTGTTTCTAGACCAAATAACTAAAGTAAAAGCTTTCCCATTCTCCTATTTTCTTGGAATAATCGCAAGCTTGCTCAAAAAGCAAGAGAGAGGTGGAAAAACACAGGCTACATATATAAGCCCCAACTTGTTTTGTCTAACAGCTGAAAGAGGAGAATGCTTTGAGCTCTGCTTCCCCTCCTCCCCACTCCCCCCAGGATGTCCTGAAGAGTGCACAAAGTGCAATAATTAACTTTCTCAGGTAGGAAGTGAACATTTTCAACAAGAACTTGGACACCATCCATGGAGCTTCTCACAGTACCTTTGTGTCCCCTCCAGGCTGCAGGCTAAGCTGGGCTCAGCGCAGCTCAGGGCCTGGCTACCCATTTCTCACAGGTGAAACGACAGTCAGTCCCAGCCATGTGAAGCAAAAGGGGAAGGTGCTCTGTGTGTGGTGGATAGCCCTGTTTAAGGTGTCTAAACTCTATTTCAACGTATGAAGTGTTTGGTAGCAATAGGAGACCCAGCTGTCCCCACTAGCTGTTGTTTCTTCCCCAAAACTGCTCTGGAGGCAAAAGAAACCAGAGCAGGGTTTAAGAGCTTTCCCTTTTCTTTCCTGAGCCCTAGGGTAGCCATACCAGGACGAGACAGAAGATGGCACTCGAACAACAGCACCAGATGAACAACCATCATGCGTAACACCTCCAACAGGGGCAAGAGTTATAATCAGCGTAAATAAAAAAAAAAAAAAACCAAAAAAAACAAACAAAACCAGGAAAAACCGATCAGCCACTCAGCCACGGCGTAAATGTTTTCACCATCAAAGCTTCAAGTTTGTCATTAATGTTAATGTTTTAAACTTCGGACTGTAAAGGCTAGACATGTTAAACAGTACCTGCTAGCTGTACTCTCCCTCAATTCACAATACAGCCTGGTACTGTAGTTAATGTTTCTCTCAGAAATAAAAAGCAATCTTGCGCTTGATTCCATGTGAAAATGGCATTTGGGTGTGACCACCCTCCAACTGGCTTTTGTCCAGTCGGTTACCAGCAGTGAGGGAACTGCTCAGAACAGCCTGGTAGGGTCACAGCAGGGTCTGCACACCCCAGGGCTCACGGTAACTGGGCTGAGCTCTCCGACCCAGGAGGTACTTCGTGGTCCTGCAGCGGCTGAACTGTGACCTCTTGTATGAGGCTTGTGTAAAGAAATGAGCAGATCATGCTTCCAAGTGGTCATCCATGTTTTGAGGGTTAACGTTAGCTCTCAGCTTTCTACACATAAGTGATCTCATACTCAGTACTGGAGCTATTATAGCTTCCCCAAAACGTTACATTTCATACCAGTTTGTAAAGGGGACAGCTTTGCCATGTAGAAGGAAAGACTGAAGGAACTCAGGGAGGAAAAAAAGACTAGACTATTAAAGTTATCTTTTAGCATTTACTCCCTTTTTAAAAAAGAATTACAGGCTGATATATTAGCCAGGTTCATGAAGAACTAGAGTGACAGAAAGATCATTCCTCTAATTCATTTCGAAATAGATCAGACAGATTTCTATTTTACAGATAGGAAAGTGAAATTGCTTTACTTCTCTCTATAAGCATGTTTTTTTTCAAAATTTGAGAAGTCTTATTACAGCTGCAACACTGAGAAGCTTCAGACATCACAAAGGTCATCTAAACTAGATAAACCCAATACAAATGAGCCAGAACTTAAAAAGCTTAATAAACCAGCTCTCTACTTCCTAAAGCTGTTCACTGATGAAAAGCTCTCTCCTTTTTCTTATTGCCAATGAATATGGTTATACTGCATAAAGTGACATACCTGCATGATAAAGACGTGTTGTTTCCCTGAAAGCTATCTTCTAGCTGCAGTAGAGTGCAAATAATGCGTTATCTCTGCAGCAGCTGGATTCAGCACCCCATTGTGTTAGGTCCTCTTTGAACACAGGAAGACAAAGGCAACCTCAGCCCCACACCTCAATGAAATTACCTTTGGCCACATAACAGATGTCTGAAGCTGAGGTTAAGGCTACCCCCAGTGAAGCAAGCAGCATTTTCCTCAGGCTTCAGTGTGCTGGGTGGTTAAAGGGGGCAGAGAAAGAACGAACATCTGATCATTTCACCCCCACATCTCTTTTGTAAGAGCTCTTCTGCCTCTATAGAGATATGCGTCCCTGTCACCTCGAGACAACACTACAACAAAAGAAAAAGCCGGCTGTGGGTGCTCACACTACCTAATACAATCAAACTCCTTCCACGGACATGCCAGCTTATCAGTACTAGTTGTTTGCTCCAGTCCAAGACAGCATGCCTACTCTCAAACAAGGAGCCTTTGCCTCTGTATCTATACCATCCCTATATAACTTTTTTTTTAATTCTTTGTACAGCGCTTACCACCATTAGCCTTCTGTCCACAACCCACGCTGTAAGTAGGAAAACAGGAATTGAGCAAGATTTAAACACTTCTATGGGATCCAGAGTGCTTTTAGAAGGTACAAACTCCTGGGCAGTATTGAAATAGCTGATGTAAAGTCTCCTCCCCTTATTCGGTAAACTGTCTTCCAAAATCTATGTTAGCCCACTGTTTACTACTCGTGGTCAGATTACCTGATATGCTGATAACTCAGTTCCAGAGGTGCTTGACCATTGCCCCCCCAACACAGTATCCAGGAGGGCTTATTTTCAGACAGGGAATTTTGAAAATAGCTAGATGCCACAGGTCCAGCGTTGTGCTTAACCCGCTGTTTCCCAGTGGTGGGAGGCTATCATGAAGATACTGAGTAGTTGTGTAGAGATCCAGCCTGGACACAGCAAGGCTAAGCCAAAAGCAGCAAGTTGTACTGGGACCAGACTGTCTCTGCACAGTTCATGTGTCTGCTAGTACTACCCTGCCTGCAAGTACTTCATTCCAGCCCTCTGTTATGCTGGATGGTGGAGAGCTTGCTCTACCATATATGCACAATATTCTCATTCATGAAAAAGGAGCCGACTCTTTTTCCCTAGAGGTTGCTTGATTATAGGCTAAGGAAGAGGTTGAGTAACTAATTAGCATAACATAGTTGGTACAAAAATCTGTTTACTTCCCAGGTGGGATTTGAACCTACATTTGAACCTACAGTGTCACCCCTCTAATACTGCCAGATGGACATCGATAGCCAGAGGAAACTTGACATAGCTCTCTCTTAAGAGGTCCATGGCCCTGCATAGCCTGGGCATGAGGCTTACAACACCACCACAGTCTATACGTTATGGCCAGTTCATCAGTTCAGAGTCACACAGAGAAGGAGACAGAGAGGTCACTTAAGAGAAACACAAATTGGCTCCACATCACAGGAAGAGAAGATTGTGCTTTTTGATGATATGCCAATATCATGCCTTTCTCAGATCACAAACCAAGGCCAGAGGCCATATTTATGTACAAACAACTGTAACTGGCATCTTTTTCAACCCTGAATAATCTATAAAAATCTTCCCTATACCATCAGGCCAGAGGAACTCTTTCTATTCTAGAAAACACATCTTCCCAGATTTCAGCTGACATACCCGTGGACATGATGCAGCTGCCAGAACACACCAACATATTTGATGATGATCTTGTAGCGGTCACATGAAGGAATAAATACAACAGATGCATCACCAGGCAATGGCAGCAATGGAGGAAATGAAGCACAGATGTACATGAGAAAAATCAGGGTTTTAATGATAAATTAGCAGGTAAGAAAGATAATAAAGAATCAGTGAGTTCTCTTTGACCTATTTAGGATCTTTCCCACATCAGATTCTTAAGTCTTCAATTGGATGGTAGCTACCATGGGAGAAAAGTGTCAGCTTTAGGACTTAAGCACTCACCAGTGGCATTAGTCTGAAAGCAAAGTTTGGGAACTCATTCCTGGCCACACTCATTAGCAAGTTTTTCTGATCAGCTAATGACTTATTTTCTCTCATTCAGAATAAGTGTCTGTGGAGTACTCAACACAATCCTTGGAAGCGATGCATCACCACCCAGCTGTTCTATGGCAGTTTTCAAGTCACACAACCAATTTTTGGTACAAGAATGGATCTACATTTCCACTTCAGCCTTGATCTTCAGTGCTAACTTGATTTCCAGTCCGCTCACAGGACTGCTCACGCAACTGACACGCTGCTTTATGTTTCATTAAAAACAAAGTCACTCCATGTCCTGAAGTTGCTCACAAATTTGGAAGTCCACTTTTAAAAATAGCAAACTGCTTTGTCACCTTGGCTGTGACGTGTGAATCCAGTTTACAGTTTTCCTTTACTTTAAAATTCCAGCCACTCTGTCATATAAATACAGTTTGATGGAGAAATCTCACCACCTTCATGGCAATCATCAAAAACCTGCAAAAGAAAGCCCTGTGTCAGTAGACTAATTATATACAGCAAGCATGATCTAACTGGAAGTAACATGCTCGCATGTTTTCTGCTCCTTCCCCAGTAGAAAAGCAGTGGTCTAACAGAGGCCAAAATCTAGGAAGTCCTATGCCAGCTCTGAGGAAGAGAAGCAAAACAGACCCCACTGTAGTAAATGATGCAAATGGACACACTGGCAAGTTTTACCTACATATCAGTTTACAATCCAAGCAGGAGAGACCAAAAGCTAGACAGAAATGTTAGCTTGTTAAACAACATAGGCAAACTTGGGATATAAAATATAATAATAATACAATAATATAATTTGGAACAGTCTACACTTGACAGCAGCCTTTCACATACAGTCCAGTAAAGAGACAGGATGTAAGTGGGAAACATCCTGGTCTAAACTAAAGAACCTGCCTCTTACGCCACAGCTAAGGCATCACGGATAACACTCATAAGCGTAGAAAGCCACACGGATCACTCACGGGCGTAACCTGGCAATGTGCTGGCTGGCCATTTGCAGAATTGTATTCAAAATTTGCATGCACCCACCTATTCGTATACAGAATTAGTTACTTACAGGGCAGAGTCCGCATGGCGTCCTGACTAATCCAGTGGGTTGTATGAGAGGACTAACGGCTCTGTACAACTTCATCTGTCCATCCACACTGCCTACCGTCCCCTCCTTTGCAGCAATAATAGTCATCTCCACTTTTCCATCATATATTAGCGTATTTAAAATGGTTTCAATGTCTTCCATTGACAACTCTACCTAAGAAATAATTTGTGAAATAAATACTAGGAAAGACGCATGCCAGTAAGTCCTGCAAGGAGGAAATGAGCAAACACCATGAGTAACAAATCCTTAAGAGTTCTAACCGAGCCCAGATAAAGGCACCACTCTCGCTGGGCACTTTATGGGGTTGTGCAGATACAAAAAGAAAAGCAAATACCAATAACTCCTACCTCCCAAGCACTTCTGGATTACACTAGCCTTGGCTTACCAAATTATGCACCTCAAGTGTCTACATCATCCTAGCATGATATATTTCCAGTTTTACAGGAAAACAATCATGAAAGAAGACAGACTACTGAAGAGATGCCTGTTGATGGTAACCAATAATTGTGGGGGTTTTTTCCCTCCTTTTTTTTTTTTTTCCTCCCCTAGAACTGTTCGAAGTGCATAGGCAAACTTGAGAGAAATTATAAAATATAAACCGGTTGAGATCGTTAAAGGAAAACTTACTCCAGTTCCCATCAACAAAAAGGAATGTGAATGCTAATTCTTTTATACGTCTTTGAAAACCCTCATGTACAAACTACTCCGGAAACCCATGCAGCACCAATGACCCTCGTCAAAAAGCAATAAAGCAGCAAAGCCCACTTCCAATACAGTAACTGTAGCACTTATCGGACCCTCACCAAATTTGCAGGACCCAACTCCTGCAGCTAGTCATGCACTGAGAATTTTGAGAGTAGTAAAATGAATCTATTCTGACCTTACTGATACCCAGTTCACAGATGTATTTCCACACCTCATGGGATGAGGCAAATGAGCTGTTCCTCTGTATCATGGGGTTCTGTTTGCTCTCTCGAGCTGCTTCCGCCTGAGAAAAAGCAAAGATGAGTTATAGTCAGTACTCACTGCCAAGAGCCTCCTTCATGGTTCAGTTTCAGGCAGACTGAAGTATAAAAGTTGATTTCCAAACCATTGCTGGGACATGTTTTTTTATTTAGCATTTAAAGCTATGTCCTTAAGACTGATGTACGTGAGACAATGCAGTGCACAACCAAACATAATTTTACACTAAATATGACACAAAATTTACACAGTGATTTAGATTAATATGAAAGAATATCAGCATCTGGCGGTTTTTTGACACAGAAGAAGTTTCTGCTGTACCTAGTGCCAGTTAAAATATATTTTAATGCAATAGAGAAATGATGCAATCTGCATAGGACTTATTTAACAGAGAGTAGGCTTCTCCTGCAGTTATACTAGAAAAAATTATCTTCTAGGTAGAGCTGACTGCCTAGTGCCTTCCACGCTGTCAGAAATTAGGAGTTCTGCAGGGAAAACAGTGACTTTTTTGCTCCTGTGTACTTTGCTGCCTAGCTTGTCATTGGACTTTGGAGACTGAAGGCTTCACTCCCTGTACAGGGTGTGAAAATATGCATTATTAAAATGCAACACCATCACACTTGCTGTGACAAATACAATCCAGTACAGATTTGCCAATCCAGTTGTAACAACGGCCAACACTTAGGGAAAACACTATGGAAAACTTAAGCCTTGCCTGTCACTAGTTTTATGAAGAAAATAATTACTTGCACAAAACGAATGGAAGGTTACTTTTGTAGAGGTACTCACCTTACTCTGTAGAAATTTAAAACACTGTTGATTTAACACCTCCACAAATTCAGACTCAAAGTCTTGGTCACTGTACCAAGCCCCACCAGTCACTGACCGGTCAGGCTGCAGGTTATATAGCATATACACCTTCTTCTTGGATGCCTGTTAGAGAAAAGTGCATAGCTCTTAACAGCTGAAAGTCTTCCATAAGAAAGGAAGATTTAAGAAGATATCTGCAAAAGAGAGAGCTCATTATTCCTAAAACTTGGGGCACAGCAATCCAGCTGACTCAAGCTATCATTAACATGTTTGACCCACAGGTAAGATGGAGATAAAGAGAAGGTCAATACATTCAGATTCCTCATAATTTTGTAACATAGCGTTAGAAGAGAGAATCCTACTAACTGTGCACACAATACAAACCTCACTGAAGAAGATCTCTGTGTTTAATTTTAACCTATTGACTCTGATCCCCCTCCACAGTCAAAGGAGGGCAGGCAAGTGTCTTTAGAAGACAGCAAAGACAAACTTAACAGAGGCTTACAACTGTTTCTGCAAGAGACAAGCCATGCTGATGATAGGAGGACCCTTACATAATTAAACCCTGCAGTTAAAGTTAGCCCTTGCAAGCCCACTCCTTACTGCCGCACCTAGACGGGGCAAATGGGAATGCTGCTTCAGTCCTGATCTTAGTAGTCAGACAGCTGAAGGACGATGGTTGTCCAAAAGACTACTCGGCAACCACTGAAGCAATTTTTGCAGTGTTACGTCCCCTGTACGACTAGATGAAGCCAGCGTCTCTCACAAAAACATGGAAAAGCTGCTCCTCTATGTCCAACTTCTTTATCTCCATTGTATTTTTATTTAGGAAACTACCCTCACCTCTCATTCCCTCCTTGCCCCCCGCAAAAATGCACACACGCAAGCCAAGGTATTGCCTCCATGGTGCCGATGAGACTGGCACATAGAAAAGGCACACAACATAAAACTTACAAGACTTCACAAACAAGTGGTCTTCCTGGTGTACCAGGCCCTGCAACAAGATAGAATCTCTGCAGGAAACCAAGAGAATGTCCAAGGAACATGCTAATACCAATGATTTGTAATCAAGCAGGCAAGGGACAGCAGGATGCTGCATGAGCATTACAACAGAGGGAGAAAAAGCATGGAAAAGGCTAAGCCCTACATTAGTACGTGGACTGTTTGCACGCAAGATAAGAAAGTACTTGAGTAACTGGAACAAAGTAGAGGAACCAAGACTAAAACAGAATCAAATGTCTCAGAAATTGTTTAAAGTAAACAATACAAATCCACTACGAACCAGATAACTGAAGGGAGTTTCAGGATCTCTGGGGGAGAAGAACCACTTGCAGCTAGGTAACCATATCACTAGTCCCATATAAAAGGTTGAGATTGCTTCAGTATCAGAAATACTTAATTGTGGTACAGCAACGTTGGGACCAATGGAGAAAAAGTAATTACGGGCAGGTTGCTTATTTGGGTGGAGACTGAGTGGAGAAAGGAGAAAAAGGTGGTGGAAAAGAGAGTTAAGAAACAAAAAAAGAGAGGGCAGGATCTGCAGACAGCAGGAGCGTGGATGCCTACGGACAGCAGAGAAGCTGACCTGTGGACCCAAGCCCATTGGTATGCCCCAGGTTTATGTCCTAAAGACCAGGTATGGGAGCGCAGAGAAAATGGTGACAGAACTGCAGATTAGTAGTAAGCTGTGTGAGAGGTTTGTGAAGGGTAACAGAACTATAACAACAGTTGTGTGCAATAAAGAATTAAGAGAACTAAAACTGCAATTTGATAGTAATGGTGTGTTAATTAGTAGCGGTGGGACGAGTGATAGAACTGTATATTAATAGTGATGTGTTTATTAATTAGATTATTAATCAGTTAATCAGTTTGTCAGTAGTATGTTGATTATTTAAATATTAAATATTATAGCCTCTCACATCTGTGGCACCTCAAACCTGCACACTAAAGGCAGAGAGTCAAATGCTGGTGCATAGTCAGTGAGAAAGCTGGAGGCAGAACGAGATTTCTCTGCTCCCACTCTCCTGTTCAAACACACACAGCATGCAGCAAACGTTTGAAATAGTTTTAAAAAAAGTCATAAAATACTCACTGCCACAGATTTAACTGCTTTAATTAGTTTCTTGCTTTCCAAGTTTTTCAGTATCTTGTTGATCTCCGTTAAAGGCAAATTACTTTTGTATCTAATGTCCCTGCTCCAAATACCTGTTTTAAAACAGAGAAGTGAATAGGAATGAATAGAAGAAACCATTTGTTTCTGTGCATATTCACAAACCAAAAGTCACATCACAACATTGCTTAACTCGCTTGCCAACCATAGGATGTGTTCCTCGATCCTACCACTCCTGGCAAAAGGGAGGGAAGGAACAGAAGGGGATGGAACAAAAAAACAACTGGCAAAACAAGAAATGCATACTACAACCACCACACTGTCCTTCTGCCTTTTACCTCTCTTCCAAGAGCTCTTACAAGTGAACCCCACTTCACTGCCAACATGAATACATCACAGAAATGTTCTTGCGTTTTTAGGTAACTAGTGTTTGCTTCCACAAAAATATGACAGCCCGTTCTCCCTGCCATCTCTCAACCACAGTATGCAACAACTGCTGAGAAAGCCTAGTTCCCAGCAGTGGTTTCTGCTGGCAGTACACCTGTTATATATAGATATAACATTTTCTTTTAAGTACTGAGTGTTCTGCAGATTCCTCAGCTTGACAGTCCCATAGATAAATTGTAATTTGTATTCCAAATATTCTGAAAGAGCCCCCCAGAAAAGTCAACCAGGACAGGTTGTTATTTGAATAAAGAAATATGTCATCTCCTCTTTCGTTTTTAAAAAGTGGACACATGGAACATTAGCTACAGACCTGGTATGAGGACTCTAGATTTTATATTTGTATTGTCTGGACAAGCATTTAAAAGTTTGGACAGGAATGGTTCCATAAGTAAACATAGTTAGTACCATTCACAATTATAATTTATTTAAACTACCTTTGTTGCCTGCATCTTCTATAATTTGGTAAACCAGCTTCTCTTGATTGTCAGAGCCTTTCATTTTACTGTAAAATAAGACAGACATCAGGATTTTTGAAAGGTCCAAAATTTGAAAGAAGTTGGATTTGCTTTAAACTGAAAACAAGTACTATGAAAAAAAACAATGCACAAAGGAAAAAAAAAAAACCCACACAGTAAGCCAGCCATTGGCAAATATAATACATGACACTAAACCTCTCCGGATCAAGCCAAGCTTGCCAGTGAGAAGCCACAGTAAAGAGAAAAGAGCACAGTATGAAAGAAAAGTGACTAAGCAGGAGTCTCTCAACTGGTCCTAACAATGGGGAATTCGGAGTCACGTATTAACACAACTGTGGAAGGTCAAACACAGCATGAAGCATAATTTAGGATAATCTGTCTCTAGACAGAATGTCTACAAAGGGATAGTAGCGTGCTCCCAACTCTAAAACATGCCTTTTCACTGGTCTGAGAAAGCCTGAACTCAGCAATCTTTTTCTAAAGCATTTGAAAGAGAAGATGACACGCCTGCACTGAGGATAATTTTGAAGGACATTTCTTTCCAGAAGTATGTCTAAAGCATCTTTTACTCAGATTTACATAGGCATCACAAGACATGGTTTGAAGGTACATTTTAATAAATCAAAGAGCATACGTAGCAGTTCAAGTGGCCTCCTGGAACAGCTGTAAATATGAGCACAGATCCTGTAACATGAGCAGTAAGGAAGACCACAGAACCACAGTTTGCGGATGGTATGGTCGGCCTTCAGCTGGATTCCACCTGAGCACATACATACGTTTGCACAGATCACTTTGCTGTCATCTGGACCAGGAACTCTGCTAATAAGTTAGAGCTACAGTCCCATGGCACCCTCTGTTCAGTAGAAACCACTATACTTAAAAACAGTTTTCAGGATCAGCTCAGGGGAGTTAAGTGTACCCTCCTGAAACAAGCAGTTATCTTCTGTAACATCCATGTTACAGAACCCATATTACATTGCTGGGTATCTTCTCAGCAATGCTGCACGTGAGTTGCAGAATTGTGTTCCAAATATATTTATCATTTATTAGCAAACACGAGGCTTACCTTGCATTTTGAGACTCTTTGATTCTATATAGGAGACCTGCATTGCTCCTGAGAAGGTCCAGTTGCCCCTAGGACAGATGGGCACAAGGCATTTACTTTCCTTCAAATAGCTTGTTTCAGAACATGGCAAGAATCTTCTAAATTTCTAAAATAAAAACCTTATTTCATGTCCACTGAATAAAGAAAAGGGAAAACTAACATTTCTAACCACTGGAAACAATAATACCCTCGAAGGTATTTTTTTCCCCTACAAGTATCCACTTATCATCAGCTATCAGAAGTAACAAATGCAGTTCCCGACCCTTCCCACAACATCTATGCACTTCCTATTATTTCTCCTAACTTTCACCATTGCACGAGGGACATCAAGTTCTTGTATACTTTGCTCTCCCTTTCCACCAAAACACTCGTTTGCCTGGCTACCCAGAAGTCATGTTGGAGCTCTGCTGAATAAGTTTTGAACAATTCTGAGTTCCAGTAGTAAAGTTTATTTTTTAATAAGTAGAGATCATTGCCAGCCAGGATCGACAGTGCCTCTCAGAGGCAAATTACTGGCATCTCACACACACAAAACATTTGACACTTGTGCCTAGGCCAGGCAAATTCTTACTTCCTATTTTGAAGGGGCAAGCAATTAAACAAGCCCAAGAGCATAACTGTGTATAACAGCATTAACTAACATTCACTCTTGCATTGCCAGCTAATCCTTTCCCCATAGTTACAGCCTTGTTTCTTACAGATTTGTGTTATGTGGTTGATTGGAGCTCACACCTCAAGATGATCCCCTTCGATGCTTTTCTACAGATGAAGTACTCGCAGCTTATCTCAAGTGAAGAGATGCTTATTAAGGCTGAGCTCTCACTGCAGTTTTTCCCCGTATTTGAGGTACTTACTAGACCTCTCCGCACACTCCCCACTCCCGAGGCATCTATTTTAAACAAATTCTAGAGACTTAACTATCTTTGAAGCCTCACTGTGAAATTTGGCCAGCCCTTTCAAAAGTTATTGAACACACAACCTCACATCTATAACAAAAAGACCAAAAAGAGATAGATTAGATTACTTCCACTGCCACCTAGCATGGTCCGAGCGAAGAAGTTCCTGTTATTAAAAAAAAAAAAAACAACCATAAAACATCCCACCTTGCTCAGTTTGGATACTTTCAACATCCTTCTTTCTGAGAAAGTAAGTAAGTGCCCCTCTTTTCAACAGTGCTCTCTTGACTGCACCACTCAGTCTGCTTTATTTCCTGACTTCACACCCCCATGAAGCAGCTAGCTACGGAACCGAAAGGAATTTTGATCTTTAAAGACCTTGAACATTTAGCTGATACTCAAGTTTATGCCACACTGAACCAACAAGACTAAACAGCTACTATCTATTCCTGAACACATGGCAGAAGTAGTTCACTGTGACCCTCACTCTTATCTCAGGCTGACTCCTGACACAGTAAAGTGAGATGTGGGTAAATTTACAGAAGATGCAAAAAAAATTCCTTGAGATGTGTCACCTGCATATTATCAGAGTAATCCACGACTTTGGGATTTTGTGAGGGGTTCAGAAAAGACCTTCACATATAAGAGCATGGGCTAACATCCCTTCTTTTATCTCTAGCTAATTCATTCCCCATCATTAATGAGCCTTGTGGTTATCATCTGTGGCCATCTTTACACCTGCTGCACCATACACTTGCACCCGACTGTTACATTAGACCATTGTATCACATTCTGCTTTACAGAGTAATACACAGGGAAAAGAAGACCAAAGAACTATAGACACATCAAAAAAACAAACGTGGTATTTCTCAGTGGTAGCTTCCTCAGCTAGAAATCCATGTAGATATACAAAATCGTGTCAACTTTGTATTACAGAATGGAAAGAGTAAGTTGAGGTATGTTTTAATTGGTTTTGGCAATCATAAGTGCTTATGGCAACCAAAAGTTAGTATGGCAACTGTACATTATGGCAAATGCTGCTAAATCCAAAAGGATTCATTTGCTAGCCCTGCCCAACAGGTTGCTACCATGCAGACTGTGTGTATGAAGAGGGCCCCAGGCTGGCTGAAGTAACATGAGGAAGCTGAGATCACCCTACCATCGAGAGCAGCCTGTTGATCGCCATGGCTCGCTGCTGGGCTTCCATGTGAGGCATATCATTTTGAATCACCTGGTCTGTGATACCGTGAGGGAACTGATGACACAGCTCAATAATCCTGGGGAGGAGAAAACCATGTTTAAAATCATGTTCTATTGCATCCAAACCCAAATCCAAACAGTATTAGAGTCAGAATGAAAGAGAGGGAAAAGAACAACTCAGGGGAAAAGTACCCATGAACTGCTTCTTGGCCGTATCTATTGAGGGAACTTAGCATCTACTCCCTGTGCTGATAAATATGTTTTTGCAATTGCTGGACAAACTACCTTTGCTCTTTGTGACAACACTGAACATCGTGTTCCACTTTACTTTTATGTTGCTCTCATTATTAACAACATGAATTTAGAGCTCCCTGTACGGTTTCATTGTACAAAAAGTTCTGATGGGAAGGAATTGCTAGCTAGTCAGAAAACACAAATAATGATGTAAATACCTTTTAGAAAAAAAATGACTTAATGCAGAAAAGCCACAATTCCCCTTTCTGAAAGCAGAAAGACACCAGGGCAGCCGAAGGTAACCTGACCCCATCGCTCACTGCTACCGAAGCACCTCCCAGCCCCAGCACAAAACGCACAGTGCCCCCATCAGCAGCAACCCCTCCTGCAAGGCCCATTTCCCGGCCACCACCCGGGCCGCGACCAACGCCCCCCG